ATCATATATATGTTAGGTACATATAAGAAAATTACATAGCATACCTGTTAAGTGCATAAACTAAAACTATATGTCCACAGCTTTCTGAAAAACCTAAAGCATTTGCTTTTCTGTCTCCTGTTTTCGAAAAATAATGTAAAAGGAGAAAATATTAACTTTAATATGCTCTTACTTTACATAATGAATAATACATAAAACGCTCACTTGGAGTCGGTGTTGCATTAAAGGCTATACAGAGTAGCTCAGATACTGAATGTGTATTTGACTTGATACTTTAACGGTAGCGTAAACGGCCAATTCAATCAACATTTTCTGTGTGTAAGTTACTCTTACGGGGACTAACATATGTTGTAAACGTGCTTTTTTTGGGGGGGGGGTTCTTTTGAAGCATTTGGTGAAAATAATAGGGGAGTACAATCCTCATGACAATAGCAATAATTTTCTTTGTTTCTTGACGTTTTCTACAGGTACTATCACTTGTACACAGTTGTAGACCTAAGTTCACAAATAACTTTTTCACTTTCAACAGAATATTACTTTCTACGTCTAAAGTACAAATAACTTTTCTTGTGCAATTTCGCGACTAATCGATCAAATACTTGAATATACGCGATAACTACAATTGATCTGAACACTTCACTAATTTCTCAAACACGGAACGAACTTAAAGCTTACTCAGTTTTTCAATGATTCTCATATTTATAACGTTATCTTTGGGTTCTAAAATTGTAACCTTTCGTCTAACGATATATGTTTGTATCAGCGAGTATTGCGAAATTTTGTCTTCAAATTAACAAGCATTGTTCCCAACGAATAAGGTAGAAGAAAGAGAGATACGAACAATACGTCATGAATACCACATGTAACGCGTTTTTATTAACGTTTACTCGAACTAAATTTATTAACTGCTATTATAACACTGTTTGGGGGCGTAAAGATCTGTGACGTCAAGAAAATGACTTGAGACTTTAATCTTGTGTAGGCCTATGACGTCACATTCCACCTACCCAACCTCGACGTGTGATGGACGAGCTCCGCGCGTGCTGTCAGTTGGTGACGGCTCGGTGTATTATAATGTCGTGATTATGCATGTGCGGCCACGTAGTGAAGACCACTGAAACTCGAGTTCCTGGCAGTTCTGAACGTAGACAATGAACACTTCGATTTATCACCATGAAGCTGGAGATAAAGATATGAACACGGACCAGTTTCTTTGGCTGGTAAGAGAAATCTAACTTACCAAGATTAATGCATGAACGTATTAGTCATAACACAATACAAAATATTTAGAGAAATTTACAGGCCGATTTTACAAGCAACAGAAAGCACTACTAAAACCTGCTGTGGTTATCTTGACACGTTATCAGATGGGGAACCGCCAAGCAACTCAGCAGATGTGCCACGGATATTCTTCCAGTAGTGATCAGTTTACTCCAGCAAAGTAGGCAGTGAGCACATGAGGAGGCGAAGGAATTAACTTTATTAGGCCATGAGAAGGCGGCAAGGGTTAGAGACGGGCCAAGCATCACGTAAGGTTACTGGTCTGAGGCTAGTAATTCGCTTTGTCTGTTCGGCGAAAAGAAAGTGAACCGAGGTCCGTGGCTAGACGAAGAAGAGCTGCCGATCTGAAGCCGGTAATTCGTTTTGTCTGTTCGGCGAAAAGAAAGTGAACCGAGAAGTACGCTAACCGAAGTGGAGCTGGGAGTGACCTGTTTTATCGAAGCTGAAGGAGGCGACGCTTCTAGATAAGGCTGGTGGTCGGAGTCGCTATAGTGATAACATTTAATGTAACAGGTCTCTCGAGCTTGAATGCGGCTATATTTGTTGGCCTGTCATCACCAGCTTGCGCGGTAGAACAATTTAGCATCAAAAATGTGTGTGTGTGTGTCGAAGGACTTAAAAAGTTCAAGTAGTTAGTCGGCTGGTTAATTTCAAAGTGGAAAATCTAATTAACAATATCATTATCATGAAGAGAGTACGACAAGGTTATTTTTTAATTACGCAGTGGACATGGTTAATTTACTAAGTCGGTACCTTATTTAGTCCCACCGATTTACTGGCCTCTACGCATAGACATTTAGATCCCAGTGGATTTTTTCTATCCACTGGCACTTGTTACTTTGCGTACATCAGACGGTATAAAAGGCATTCTTAAAGTAAGTAATCATATTTTACAGGCAAGAGTATTTTCAACAACTGGAAGAACATGAAGATGCTAAATGTAGCAGATCTACAAGATTCTTTCCAGCGGATACGAAACACAACCAAGAGCTGTATGCCACTTGTGTTACTGTGTGTATTCTTGGGTGAATAACACTGTTATTGGTTGCTGTTATTGCTTGAGAATACACGTGGTTAGCGAGTCCGATCAACGCAACTTGACACATTGATCATCTTCAGGAAACAAACCAGGACATCCACGTTTATTCAACTTTCTGAAATCTATTTACTCCTACAACTTTTGTATCATCGAACTCATACTGTTTTGACTATTTTTCTCACCTTGACGTTTTGGAATCTACACAAGATATCCGAATTATCAGCGCCTAAAAATATGAATAGATGTATAAGAACTATTTTTGTATTTGAAACAGCGACTTCTCCATTATTTTCACTACTTAATTTCCCTGATCAATAAAATATTTGTGTATGATTAAAATCATATTATTTTCATCACAAGATCAGTTTTTGTCTAACAAAAATTCTCACGAGTTCTTGCACTTGAAAGATTATAGTTTGTAAAATCAGTCCTTAAATGCTAATAAAAAAATTCTGTTACTTTGTTCATGCTACTCTAAAACACCCAATGTATCTACACAATGTCTAACGAGTTTTTGACTTAGGTATAAAGTGTGTAATTCAAAATAATGGCTTAAATTATTATATTTAATAGGATTTTAAAACTTAACTTTTCATAGTAAAAATAGAGAAAAATAAGACACTATTCTATAAGTCGTTCCTCTACTATCTCAATGTCTGAACTATAACATTTGTTTCTATCTTATATTACACCTAAGATCAACGTGATATCAGAGATAAGATAAAACCTTTTGGCAAGTTCGCAATATTGACCAGTAGAAAATTCATGGTGTTAGTAATAAAGTTCGTATAACATTTTTTACCGCGCCCTTCATTTCGATTTTGTCTCTTCTCATTAAGAATACAGTAATAAACTTCCATTGTTTAAATCATACCATAAAGTTTTTGTTCGTGAACTTTAAATTAGAAATTATTTTACACGTTTATGTCTTCATGCTTGTATTTCAATCAATAAATATAGACACATTCTTACTTTCTTGTTTTTTCAGTCTTCAGAAAGAGCACTTTACCATGTCCTTCTTATCTAGCTCGGTGCAAAAACCGTCATTATGATCCGTCGTTCCAATTTACGATTACTAGACTGTTTGTGGAATGAAGACAATGACGATCCTAGAAATCCATGAGACATGTTTGCCCGATATTATTCGTTCAGGAAATGCATATTCTTGAGAAATTTGAAATACTGACTCAAGGAAAAGTGACTGTTAAGTAAGAATAAAGACTGGTCTGTTGATAGGAAACGTGACTGTAAGTCAGAATAGATTGGGTTTGTTGATAGTTAAAATGACTGTTAAGTAAGAATAAGGACTGGATTTGTTAATAGGAAAAGTGACTGTTAAGTAAGAATAAAGACTGGTCTGTTGATAGGAAACGTGACTGTAAGTTAGAATAGACTGGGTTTGTTTATAGGAAACGTGACTGTTAAGTAAGAATAAGGACTGGATTTGTTGATAGGAAAAGCGGCTGTTAAGTAAGAATAAAGACTGGTCTGTTGATATGAAACGTGACTGTAAGTCAGAATAGACTGGGTTTGTTTATAGGAAACATGACTGTTAAGTAAGAATAAGGACTGGATTTGTTGATAGGAAAAGCGGCTGTTAAGTAAGAATAAAGACTGGGTTTGTTGATAGGAAAAGCGGCTGTTAAGTAAGAATAAGGACTGGGTTTGTTGATAGGAAAAGCGGCTGTTAAGAATACGGACTGGGTTTGTTGATAGTTAAAATGGCTGTTAAGTAAGAATAAAGACTGGTCTGTTGATAGAAAAAGTAACTGTAAGTTAGAATAGACTGGGTTTGTTGATAGGAAACATGACTGTAAGTCAGAATAGACTGGGTTTGTTGATAGTTAAAATGACTGTTAAGTAAGAATAAGGACTGGATTTGTTGATAAGAAAAGCGGCTGTTAAGTAAGAATAAGGACTGGGTTTGTTGATAGGAAAAGCGGCTGTTAAGTAAGAATAAGGACTGGGTTTGTTGATAGTTAAAATGACTGTTAAGTAAGAATAAAGACTGTTCTGTTGATATGTTTGTTTGTTTGTTCTGTAATTAAACACAAAGCTACACAATGAGCTATCTGTGCTCTGCCCACCACGAGTATCGAAACCCGGTTTCTCGCGTTGTAAGTCCGCATACATACCGCTGTGCCACTGGGGAGCTTTATTGATAGGAAAAGTGACTGTAACTCAGAATAAAGACTGGGTTTGTCAAGAAATTGCGATTCCTTCACCTATCAAAAACCTTTTAACTTTTGTCTTATGATAATATATAAAGATCAGGAAGTTTTATTACATGACATTTCCAAGCTGTGTTTCCACTTTATTAAGAAATATTATTTGTGTTTTGAATTATTCTGAAGTTAGATACTGAATACCCCAAAAAAGGTTTTACATAATGCGGTTTCCCTTAACTTATCATTACAAGGTACATTATAATTTATGCGTGATGATCATGATAATGATTTTGTTTGTTGTTTGGATTGATTTTATAGATATATATATATATATATACGATCGATAAGGCTAGAATCGGGTTACGGTATGTAGAAAATTGCAAGGTTGTGTTTTCTAACCTAATTGGATATAGCTTCATATTTCATTACTTGAAGTGGAAGTAATTAATGATAGATAATAGGAGCTATAATACAATTGTTCTGACATCGAAGCTACTCATTTTTCTTTAAAGGAAAAACTAACTGTTGGTTCTTGGATAGTTAGTTTCATATGGATGGACTGCTCCTGCTTTCTGTCTGATTTGGGTACGACGCCCCTAAGCTCTTTATCACATATCATTGAATCAAAAGGACCTGTTCATTATTAAGTTCTCTGCAATTAATAAAAATTATGTGGAAAATTTTACAAATGGAGTTTATCATTGAGCTTCTACTATTGAAAAAATTGTATTTGATATGGTTATATTTGACGAAAAATAAAATATTATTGTGCTATATAATATTATTTGCCTCCAAATTTAAAGATAATAAACATCTTATAACTCATCTTAATGGTGTTTTAATGTGTATATTTTTCTTCAGTTATGACACATCTGAAATATCATTAAAGTAAATAAAATCCATCTCTTCAAATGCAGTGCGAGTTTGGGATTTCCTTGACTTATGACGTCATTACTGAGGAACGGTTGCATTTCCCTAAACCAGTCTTGCTCAGAGGAAGAGACCAAAATAAAGGGTAATCAGCCTTTAAACATATTTATTTTTTTACCAAATAATCATGAAGAAAACATCAATAAATCGTAACGCCTTCTTTAAGTTACTATTGGGAGTAAATACTCAAGAACTGTGACATTAATTTAGGACAGTGTCCAAGACGTTCCCGCATTTTCCTCAACTCACAAAATGGCCAATTATATTTCTGAAATTAATTATTTAATTAACTGTTTCAAACAAATTCCCTTTGAATCCCAACAATAATAAAACGTAAAGGGTTTTAACGAGGTACTTAACGTTTTCCATGATTATAACACAAGAAACCTGGGTTGTTTGAGTTTCTTATGAAATACGTGTGTTTGTGTGTGTGATACGCCGTGTCATTTTCTCCGAGTAGCCAAGCAACACGTGTTTGTTTTCCACTCTAAAAGGACGAAATATGTTTAGAACTAATTAAGTACACATTACTACATGCACCTTGCTGTGTGAGTGTGCTTACATAATTTGTATGTGAAACAATATACAATATACCTTTCCATAATGAGTGCTTTTAATAAATTAGACTCTAACTGAATAACAAAGATATCCTTTAAATCTATTTAATAGGATACTAAGCTTAGTTTGATATAAATAGTACAAGACAACAAAGATATCCTTTAAATCTATTTTATAGGATACTAAGCTTAGTTTGATATAAATAGTACAAGACAACAAATGTATCATTTAAATATATTTTATAAGATACTAAGCTTAGTTTGATATAAATAGCACAACAAGACAACAAAGGCATCCCTTTAAATATATTTTATAAGATACTAAGCTTAGTTTGATATAAATAGTACAAGACAACAAAGATATCCTTTAAATCTATTTTATAAGATACTAAGCTTAGTTTGATATAAATAGCACAACAAGACAACAAAGGCATCCCTTTAAATATATTTTATAAGATACTAAGCTTAGTTTGATATAAATAGTACAATAAGACAACAAAGGCATCCCTTTAAATACATTGTATAAGATACTAAGCTTAGTTTGATATAAATAGTACAACAAGACAATAAAGGCATCCCTTTAAATATATTGTATAAGATACTAAGCTTAGTTTGATATAAATAGTACAACAAGACAACAAAGGCATCCCTTTAAATACATTGTATAAGATACTAAGCTTAGTTTGATATAAATAGTACAACAAGACAACAAAGGCATCCCTTTAAATATATTGTATAACATACTAAGCTTAGTTTGATATAAATAGTACAAGACAACAAAGATATCCATTAAATCTATTTTATAAGATACTAAGCTTAGTTTGATATAAATAGTACAACAAGACCACAAAGGTATCCCTTTAAATATATTTTATAAGATACTAAGCTTAGTTTGATATAAATAGTACAACAAGACAACAAAGGCATCCCTTTAAATATATTTTATAAGATACTAAGCTTAGTTTGATATAAATAGCACAACAAGACAACAAAGGCATCCCTTTAAATATATTTTATAAGATACTAAGCTTAGTTTGATATAAATAGTACAACAAGACCACAAAGGTATCCTTTACATCTGTTTTAGAGAAAAATAAGTTTAATTTGATATAAGTAATACAACATAGGATCATCTTTGTGATTATGAGCTCGATTTCTTTGTGTATTTAAACCACCTAAACTCATACCTGATTATATATATATATATATGTAAATGGAAGTATATATGTGTATGTATATATATATATATACACTTACACAGAGAAACACAAAAGTGTACATACACATATATATATATATATATATACAGAGACACAAAAGTAGATTTGCCATGCGAATGTACATTCGTATATATAAATAGCGTGAGGCTATTATATCTCAAGGAAGAGTACATATGATACGACTGGGAATCATTAAACTGACCCTCTCTAAGTTCTTGACATGCAGGATTTGACCTTTTTCTCGGGTCACTGTCGCAACCAAGCACGAATCGTGATATTGGTTAAAGACAGTGTTCAGCATTGTCCCTGTTACTTCATTAATCCATAAAGGAACGAAACGAAAAGAGAGGAGAGAAAAAAAAATAACCAATTCGTCAAATGAATGAAAATTATACTAACGTAAATTGTGCAACTAAACATATGAACTAGTGAGGTCAAAGTATCTAAAGAAGAGAAAGAAAATGGCGGGAAGAAGCAATTTAACACGAAGCATGGCTAGAAAAAGAATCAGCATAAACTGAGAAAGGAGATTTGGAAAGACAACAGAGGGAAAAATCACAAATCACAAAAAAGTAGATCAACAAACTATATGTTATTGGAGTAAAT